TCTGAAGATGTAATAAACACTATACCCATTAGCTCCTAATTAATAATATTATACCAACTATCAAAAGCAATTATGATACCAATCTTATCTTTACAAGCAAGATCCTTAATTGTTACTTGAACTTTATCAGTTATACTTGTTAATATATGATTACTAAGTGATTTTTCAATTTGGCAGTTTTAAATATAGAAAATAAAGTAGAATATTTCTCTAACTTCAAGATTTTCAATTCACCAAAATGCAAATCTAGCTGAAACAGTTGCTTGAAGTACAAGACGTTCAAATTTATGAATTTCTGAAGCAGTAAGTGAACGACTAACATATTTGGATAATGTAGTTTGTTTTTTTAAAGTATTACTAGAAGCTAATGAATTAGAAGATATTATTTCAGAAGTTGAATCATTTTCATCTTTATCTTCTTCATCTGTATAAGATATTATTATCTGTTTGTTTGGTGATGAAAGTGTAGCAGAATTGAGAATGAGTTGTATTTGCTCAAATGAATACTTAGTAGCAAAATAAGGGCAGTCTCTAAGATAGTTGGCACAATAACATTTGGTATTTGTAATTTTCAAATTATCATCTTTTAGAGCAAATTCTCTTCCTACTGCATCCATACAAGCTCAACAAATACATTTTCAGTTACTTTTATTTGCTCATTTATTAGAAATAATATAAAAATATTCACTAAGAGAATGTGGTGGCTTGTCTCCTTTGCATTGCATAATTTGTATAAAACTAAGATACTAAATACGATCAATTAACAAAAGGTTTAGTGATTTAGTAAAAAAAAAAGATACAGTAACTAACTTTATTAATAATAACTTCTTTTTATATTTTATAATTACTACAGAAAAGATTTTATCTTACTCTATCTAATCTATTTCTAATTTCTTTAAAATTTTATCGCATTGAGACTTGAGCTAGTATTTTCATACAATTTTTCCTTTTTTTTAGTTTTTAACATTAATTTCTAATATTAATTTTTCACATTATCTTGTGAATTTGAAGCTTTTTTTAAATTCTTCTTAGATTTTCATGCATATAGACTAAGCTTTTTCTACTTTTGGCATTATTGCTTTTGCCTTTTCTTAATTTTATTCTTAACTGTGAGCTTTAATTAACTTCCTTATTTTGTCTAGTGGCTTTACATGAGAAACTTCAAATGAATATAAATTACATACTTACCGTTACATCAAATATTAAGGTATATATTTACTTTTGAATAATAATCAAATTTTATTCTGTATCTCATACATAGAATAATTCAAGATAGGGTATGTATTTACTTTTTATTAATTTCTTCTTATCTATGCTTAGCATATCACCAATAAGTCTTTTATTTAATGGTTGATCACGATTTTATTTGTATTATATATTATTAATACTTTGACTAAAATATATTTTTTTTCATCTGGGCCTTATAGTTAGTATATTATCACTATAATGTATGTTTTTTTTTTATTTATTGGTATGATACTAATTTGGTTAGTACATATAAGTACTTGATTCTATCAATTATGTGATTCTACTTTGATTTTCAAATTCAGATCGATATTTTTAACATTTGTACCTTACAGTTATAATTTTAATCAAGTAATTTAAAACCTAATTAGAGTGGGCTAGAATATGTGATGTATATTTGCATATCATATGTAAATATATATTCAGTAGTGTGCAAGTGAATATTTTCACAAAGCTTTTATTTTAATAAAAAAAAATTGATACAGCAAACTTAATTTCGATCAATACTAAAAAATAAAAAATGGATAAATTCTAAATAAAGACAATAATTCCAGTCTACTTATTCAGGAATTTGCTACTATTGAATATAATTGGATAATAAAAACTTGTCTGAATTGTCCTATGAAAGATTATTGGACATTGTACAGTGCTAACTAAAACTGCACCTCATCAGATACTGAATATTTCATAGAACAATTTGGAAATATCCAATGTCTAGTAAAAAATCACTAGATATGTTCATTGCTCAACTTTGCTCAAAACTTTCTACCTTTATTAGACTGAGTTTTCTTTCAGATCAGATTTAGCTAATATAGTTCTGTTAGAATACTGTATTACTTCACTGACTTAAGATTTCTACTATACAGATTCTCTGCTTGTATATTCTATTAAGATTTATTCATATAATATTATATTATATTTTCAAGTTTTGATCAATTTGGTATACTCAATTTATAGAAGT